CATCATTGTCATTATTACAATTTTATACACTGTTAACAGTAAACGCTTTACTATCCGGTGTTCACTCTATACAACTCAACTCAACTCAACTCAACCCAACTCATCTGAACACAATTCAACTCTACTCAATTCAACTCAACGCTCCCAACAACCACAACCAATCAAGCCAGCTCGTATCAAAATACTGGTGACATTGGCTACCGCTCGACATCAACTCACAATTCAAAGAAATTCACGACAATACATCTTATCGATATCATAAATTTATAATCTTTTCAACTTATGGACTTCCGACATTTTTAAGAAATAATTCCTTCAAAATATTGTTTAAATCTTTCAAAAATTTTTTAAATCAAATTTTAACCTCATCAAATTTCGGGTCGTCATCGATATACGTATTCGACATCTGTCTAACAGTTATAATTTTCAATGCTTTCTGGAAAAAATTTTTGACATTACTACATGTCAAAAATTTCTCACACAAGATTATTACCGGATATTTTAAAGACTGTACTTTATACGTCTTCGAAAGGCAAGTATATTTCACATTAGCAAATTTGTTTTGTTCACATTCTCTGCGAAATTTATCTGAATTAAAAATCAGATATTGAATTGCTAAAACTCTGAAGATTTATTGCACATTGTCCGTTGCATTAAGCAAATGTTTAAAGAAATTCAAATGTGAATAATAAGAATTTACGGTAAAATTGATAAAAATTCTAATTCTAGCTGCTATTAGAAAAATTGTTTTATTTGTAATTTCTCCTGTATTTTATTATTTATCGTAGCTATTGACTCCCGACGACAAAAAAATCATTTTAAAAGTTAAGAAAAAGTTACACTAAATTTTGCATAACACCGCTTGAAAGAACGACTAACAATACAAATACACCGCACGGAAACATCTAAATTATATGAAGTGACAGGATTTGTCGGAATTCCGTTCATGATCATAAATATAAAATAGATACCCATGTATATTTTTTTCTTGATCGCTACTCGAATAAATTACTATGCTATATTTCTTAAATTTTGAAAAATTTTCAAAATATATCTTAGATTTTATTCAAATTTTTAACCGCACAAACAAATCTCATTGGATATTTCCTCTGATCCTCCGATGCAGTGATAATTGTTGATAATGAAGTAAAAAAGGAACATATAGTAATGAAGTAAAAAAGGAACATATAATAATTTTTATCATTTCACAAAAGCGGTGGACAAAAAATACAATCAAATTTTCAGTTTTGATAAATGGAATAAGTATTTGTTATATTCTATTCAGCCCTAGATTTCGTTCCCAGAAATACTTGAGTGCATAAAATAAGGATTGCAATGATTAATGCAATGATAATTGTACCCTTAGCTTCCATATAAAATTCAGCCAAGTTCTTGGAAGCACTAGTTGATGATGGACGTTTGTTTACACTATAAAATTTACTGGATATTAAGGACTGCACGTATTATCATTCATTTAATGACTTTAATCACTCTTTTCAAGAACCTCTTTTTTTCTTTCTATGGAATTTATCTTTAACATGTCTGGCAATGTGATAAAATGCTATGAATGATATTTCGTACCACTTAATATTTAGGCGGATTCCAAACAATATTGCAATCCATGCTCATTTTTTACACTTTATTTTTGAAACTTTAAGATTTTCGTACTTAACTATACAAATTTGTCGGTGTGTTTTATCGATGCAAGTAATCTATGAAACAAATGAGTGATTCTGAATAATTTTGGTAAAGTTACGTCATAACACTCTTCGATGTTATTTGAGATGTGTTTGATAAATGTTGTAATCCTGTAATCGGAGCAATTACTCTCGATTCTGGACTTGTACTCCGTGGCAATACCGAGTTAAGAGAACTTTTAAGAGTGACACATTCCTCGGGTGGTTTCGCACTGTCACAGACTGCTGACGATGATATGCGACCTGAACACAAATAAAGTTTTGTGTCATTGGTTATTTGCTGACATCAAATATGTTTTGTTCCAAATACACTTGGGATAAATATAATGATAAATTCTGAAACATATTTATAATATGATAGCATACATCAAAGCAATTAATAAATGTGTAACATGGCAGAAGAATGTCGTTTATTAAGAAACAATTGAGTCGCAAATATCAGTTAACTTTAATTCACAAACCATGATTTATACTACGATAAAATCATTATACTATCTTTTTTGATAATTCAAATTACTAAATGAATATATTTAGTCGATTCAATAAGTATTATCATACATTTGATTTTCGTAACAGTATGTTCATTTATATTTGGATCATCGGAACCTTCGAATTCCGTAATCATTATCATTGAGGTAGACTTTACATCTTTCCAATTATTTACCTCCGGTGACCGCCGCCATATCAATAAACAATAACTAACACCTCGGGCAGGTATTTTACCAAAGGCATATGGTTCAGCCTAAACGAATGAATGCATTTTATTTTTCAATGTGCAAACATATAAACCTGTAACTCAGCATATCATCAATTGAAAATAAGGGAAGAAAAACAAAAATAAAATTGCCGTAATTAATGCTTTCGTTTCACACTTGAATTTGTATATAATAGGTCGTTCACTGGCATTATACAAAATAAGTTTTACACGAGCTGTATTAGGAATATCGTTAACAGGTAAAAATTTCGTTGAAATCAGCCTTAAAAAAGTGTCAGAGTAAAAATGATAATTGAAAGACAAAAAAGGGAAGTAAAAAAATCAAATTTGATATGAGCAAAGAATCAAAAGTGAAATAAATCGAATAAAAATCGGTATATATGAATAACTTTTTTCTATCCCACAAGCTAATCCGATTTTCAGTCTTTTACCATAAATTGTTCGCTCCGAATTAAAGCATTTCGAGCTTTGCATTACAAATATGAGATGAAGTAAGGGAGAAACTTTTGACACTTAAATTCTGCACCTATCATATAATAAAGGTCGTCCATCATCTTTTATTGGCATTCCTTTTTGAAATCACTGGGAAAAAACGCTGAAATTTATAAAAAGCATTACTTTACCATATAGATGTCAATGAACTTTTTTGGCCAAGTGCTAAATATCTAAATATAATAAATCCATGAATGAATTCATTATTCCGAAAGGTTATGAACCGGACAGCGTTGAAAAATTCTGGACATGCAAAAGAGGTAGTTAACAGAAGCAGATGAAACTAAAGCAAAAGAAACGAAATAACTTCAGATGAAAAATTAGAGCAATGCTGTCCGTGATGAACTGAAGATAAATAACAGTCGCAATCATACGAATATGTTATTTTTATAACCTACTCGGACAAAGATTTTCCTTTCCGAAATATGCAAATTTAAAACTCTTTCAAAATTTTGAAAAAAAAATTAAATTCCCATACATCAGAAAAGAGTTTTTGACAATTCATAAATCCAAAACGACTATTATTTATCCCATATGATATCCTTTCCATCTACCAAGATTCAATTACCCACAAACTTCCTCAACCAACAAAAATCACCGAGTTCAAAATCTTTCAAACCTACACTGTCAGAGAAATGAATTGTTGATATTCCCAATATGATCTCTGATATGCTTATATCACAATCACCAGAGAAAAACTGTTTACAGTTTGTGACAAATCACATTATATAATAACAATGACTTTGTTACACAGATTCTTCACAGTCAGTCGAAATTTCAACGTTTTCGATTATCCTATGGCACAACATAAAGCAATCCATTATTTAAGATATTTTCAAAATCATTAGAAGAATAACATTTCGGATAGCATAAAAGACATGTGACGTACATGAGTTGTGAGCCTACATGTATGGAATGTATGCTCACAAAATGTTATACTAAAAGTCGATTATTAAGCAAAAATATACTCTGAAGAGAATAAATAAAATAATTTCAAAACCGAACCTTAATAAATTTCTTCAAAAGATTAAAAAATAAGCAGTAAAGGCAGGAATAAGTGAAGCTAAAAACGGAGTCAATAAAATATATTTATATATAATCACATTGCATTATGTAAACGAAATGCATAAAACAACAATAGATATATTGGTAAAATCTTGATTAATAAATAAAACTAAGGATATTACGCAAATGGTCTGTATATTCTTTGGTTCATGTAAATAAAAAAGGATATTTGAAAGAAGCAGAAAAGATAGAAAGGTGTACATGAGATTAAATAAAAGAAAACTGGAATGTGGACACTTCTGAAGCTAATAAGTTAAACATGAACATTCACTTGAAAATCTGAAGCTAATAAGTTAAACATGAACATTCACTTGAAAACAAATACAAGCACCAAATAGCATCATTCAAGTGAAAAATTCCTGAAAATGCGTAATAATTAAAATACGTTAAAAAACACATCTGATAAGGAATCGCTGTAACAGAGGTTATACTTGACCTGAAAACTGATTCCCAAATCAAAGATTCTTTTCCACTTTTGAAACCTTCAAATTTAATTAGCAGATAGCATGCAACTGCAATTAAGACCATGAAGATTACATTTCCAGAAAAATAAAGGCAATTGCGGAACTAAAATGAGTGAGTTTGAAGCGATAAATTATTGAGATTATGAGGTATTATAATTCTTAAAGATATCTTGGACAAGTTTAATGCCTAAGAAAAAATATTGAAATTCACATAAAAATACAGCTATCAGCCCAATCCGCATTGCTCAATTTCTTCTTTGTCATCTGACTATCATCATATTCATTATGACAACAATTATTATTCAAAAAATGTGAACCACTATCAGCATACTGTCCGATCGCCTCAATTTGAGGACTGCAGTCTTCGTAAATTATTTCCTGAAACAAAGATGGGCGAAGGTTTATATAAGAACGAATACGGAGCATAAAATTAGAGTCCGCATGTCGATGCCCCAGTAAAAATGAAGAAACATTTGGACGAATGAATAAGCGAAGGCGATCCTGAAATAAAAGGAGGCATCAGTTTCAATATTTATAAAATACTGAAAGTCTTTCCTATCTGTAAATCAATATTACTTAGTCGAATTCTTGTGATTAGCGCATTACATTAATTGATAAATATCACTACTGTGACTATATCTAACCAAAAATTCAATTGTTAAAAATTTAATATCAAGTTGTTTGCCACCATAATTATGTGTATATGAATAATCTAATCAATCTCAATTTCTATCTTTCAGAAAAATTCTACTATATTTTTCCACCAGAAGAAGTTGGAAAATAACTTGTAAAAAAAACAACCCACTTCAATCGCTCGACGATCAACCGTGACACAAAGAAAGGAATGCATGATACGATTAATATGGAAATCATACGTCAACGATATACTACTATCAACTTTACCATCCAAAGTAGCAATTCTTTTATCCAATAATGATGATTTTACCAACGGTTCTAATTCTTGCAACACCATATAAGAAATATCCTGGTCTCCAGATATATCAAAGGGAACACATAGTAAAACCAACTAAAAGAAAACTATTCTATATAAAAATCAAATAAGTATATTAAAAAACTAAAGGCGTTAGGAGAATTCCTAATCCATCTTATATTTCCATACGTGTTTCGTTACCGTAGAAATATTCTATACAAAAGAAATTACCTCTAGCGGTACCCATTGATTATAGCCAAAAATGACAAAAGTTTCCATAACTGTTTTTTGACATTCAGTTAGCTAAAATAATATGCATCTAATAAAATTTAACCAAAATAATCTTGACATATGCTTGATGCTGGGACATTTTGCTTATAAAAATAAAATATTACCAACAAAATGTTTGACATAAAGACACTTCGTTCAGAAATAAAATCTGGGAATGGAAATATTGTGATTCGTTTCACTTAGTTAATTTCATTGAAATATCAGACTTGCAGAGGTGAAGGAAGGAGATAAGAAAAAAAGAAGTTATGCCTTGAATAAAGGTGCATTTTAATAAAACCAAACATATATGATGTTTTCAAATTATAATGTTGATTTTTGACTGTTCAAAACAAACATGACTAGAGGTATATTTAGCATGCTTTTTTTTAAAAAAACTTACAGATTTATAGGATTCCATAATAGCATCAACCATATTTTTATACTTATAATAAGTAAAAGTTGATATGGTTGTAACAGCGTAATAATTTAATAAGCAACGTAAATTATAGAAGCTGAAAAGAAATAATTCTCCAGCAAAAAATATGAAAAATAAGATTTTTTTGCAATAAAATCAAAAAATCCAAAAATGTACTTATCATGACTGTTGCATGCCTGTTGTCTCACTATGCCGAGAAGTGCTGGTAAGCCTATTGTTCTTTCATGAATATGAAAAAGGTGCTCATTATAAAAAGATAAGGCAGCCTCAGCAGACGAATGTAGTTGCTGGAACATGTTCTCCGTCTCCGTCAAAGAAAAGCCAGGTGGATCAACTGCAAAATGTATAGGATTTGAAGAAGATACTTGGAATATTTCCAAGTTACGACTTGTTGCAAGAATACGACACTGAAATTGAAATATTTAAGAAAGCATAAGTAGAAAATAAATTTACAACATGAAATACAATACAATTTATATTCATCTGACGATGAATTGTAGATGTTAAGGCAGTTTAATCATGCGAAATGATGACCAAACACTCAGTGCGAGCAATTTAAAACATAGAAAACGTGTGCTAATTTGGTTACTTAATTTTCGGGAATTAAGGAAACTAAAGGAAACTAACATTTAGCTGATCGAACCAACGCACACTTTCTTGAAGATAAATGTCATTTAAAACTATCAATGTATTTGGTTTCTCACGTAACGCAGTTTTGGCCTGAAATAAACAGTAATCATGTGTCACTGGTGTTTGTGGCATGAAAACCAAAACGAAAACCATAGAAAGGTAATGGCAACATCTTTTTGATTTATCGATGCTCCGTGTTGGATAAGAAAATTCACTGCTATAATCATGATAATAAGAATGTTCAAGACTTTTATTAACAAGTTAACAACAATTTGTTAATAAAAATCTTTCCTAAAAATTATTTTGTTTATTAAAAACTAACCAACGGCAAAAATTGGGCAAGAGTTTCTTTTCCAGTTAAAACTAATGCATCAGTTACTAAAAACACGAAATTTGAAAAAACTTCAGACAGTTGACTTGTATTGGTACAGCCATCCTCAATCCATATAACGTGTTCGTAATATCTATAAAGCAAAGCTAAAGAAATTGCATAGATTTTGATTTACTTAGATTAAAAAAAATAAAATAAGAAAAAAGGGAGAAATTTCTGGATTATAACTTGGAAAATTTCGCCAGCAATAAGAATTATTAAAAGCAAGAAAAGTAGTGATTGCTGAGAATCTCACCGGCTTAATAATACTGGGTGAACGTGCAAAACAGTGGCAGCTAAGAAACTTTTGCCACATCCAGGAAACCCATGAACAACAAGCCAAAAATGATCTGCAATGATAAAGGATAACTGACGAACAATGCAGGTAAGATATATGAAGAGATGTATAATAAGTTATGTAAAAGTTCATAGAAATGAAGTTAGAAGATTCAAAATCCAAATCAGAAAAACCTAGTAAAAAATAACCGTCACGAGGAAAGTCGATAATCGCTCAAAGTTTAAAATTTATAAAAAAAGAGATTGGAAAAATTGTAAAGTTAAGGAGCATTAAAATGTACGAATTTTATAAACCCGCAGACTTTCAAATTTTTCAAGCCATGAGTGCAGGAAGTATTAGAAGAACGAACTAAGCAATTTTTATTTGTCTATTAATCTTTTTTTAATCCCAGCTCGTGCTTTTTCAAGTTGTCGCAATGTCTTACTCTTACTTTTACTAATCAAATATCTCACTGATGATAAAAAGTTTCATAAAGAAATTTTGACAATCGTATTTGACATAAATGACATATTTCTACAGAAGCATGACATTTTTATTTATTTCAGGAAGTGTGAATTTCTAAGTTTTTGAAACATGAAACCTCGAGATGATAAATCGACCAGTAAATCCTTCAATTTTTCCAACAGATTTATTCGTAACACACGATAAAACGGTAGTCGCGGCACATTTCCTTCCAGAAAAAGTCGATCTTCCAACGCATCAGGTGTTAGCAAGGGTCGATCTTCAGGTACATAATCTTTCGACAAAAGATGCGCTAAATGTTGCTGTCCATATTTTTCGAAATATGTTATTAATGGATCAAGAGAAGTCGCTGACTTTCGATACTGTCGAATGAATTCCATCACACGTAGAGTACGGCCCGTCTGGAAATGAATATGAATTCAGACTTTTGCTACAGATAAAATTTTCGCTGCAATTGAAGAATGCAAATTTTGACAAGAACTAAATAAATTTTCGCAAATTTTTATGGGGTTCTTTTATGCTGTTTTAATTATAAGATCATCCGCTTCATTTTCATTGCGTGAAGATCTTCATCTTTTGTATTATGTCTCCTTTAACTCAAATCTTCTACTAGATACCTTACAGCATATCCTCAGCATAAACCAGAAAATGACATCCGCCATCGATAATCACTATTTCTTAGTATTAAAAACAAATTACTTCCTCCTGGCACGCTTTTCAATGACGAAAAAAATACCGCCAAATATATTACATGCAAAAATTATATAACTTCATGTATAATATAAAATGAGACTTGAAATGCATTCTGATAGAAATAACCAATATGGTCAATCCAGTTCAATAATCGATAAATTTCATGATTTCAACCATTGAAGTCCACATTACATAATTTACTTTACTAATTAAAAAATTATAAAAATTTATGCAGTTCTTACTAGCAATTTTTATCCAGCCATTTTTTGGAAAATTTGCAGAACAGATAAGCTAACAAACAGCATTAAGAAGTAGAAAATCAAATGTCAGAAAAATAAGACAAAGAAGCATATAAAAAACAAAATACAGGAATTTGGATAACCAGTAGCCCATCATTCTGAAAAACCTAAAATATTAAATTTAAAAAAGTAAAAAAAAAGCAAACCAACCATGCTAAGGATAATTTCCTGTTGGTCATCATTGAAAATTTCCTCTGAACACATATATAGAATAGCATCACGCGGTTCGAAATCCTGCACTAATGCTTCCATAGCTATTGTTAATATTCGACTATGCTTTTCCAATAACATTTTTTAACTGAAAAAAAAAACTTTTTCTTTCAATAAACTTTAATGTAAGTTACGAAAAAAACTATTAGTGCGGAAGTTACTGAAAAGAGTGATTACATTAATGGAATGCACGATTAAAATTCATAACCAAAAGAACAAAACTTTAATTCATCGAGAAATAATCTCCATCATTTCCCCTCCCTCCCCCCTCTCTCTATCAATGAAATTTCTTTGAACTCACTTCCAATGCATCTTTCCGCTAATCTTACCGATCTCTGTGTCTCTCTTTCACAACAACGCTTTCTTTATCTCTAATGTCTAACAGCAGAAATGATATTTCGAAGACTTTAATAATCATTTGTTATGTTTTATGATATGAATTAATGTAACTCTCTAAATGTTATAATATGTAAATCAGGAAATGTGGAATTTTTTGAAAATGCAATTTTCAAGAAGTTGAATCGTTTAGAAATGTCACAGGAAGTCATATAATTTTGTAAAATTTTTTTTACATTTTTTATTATTTCTTGATTTGTTTATCAGTTATCAATTTTCGTTCATTTTCTGATTATATATATACAGGATTAATTCCAAATTATAGAACTAAAAAATTAAACGCAGAAATTTAGTAATCAATTTTAGCAAGTTCAGCGTCTGCTAATTTCTTCAGAATCTTGCAGATTCTTCCGAAATCTCTATAGCCACAGCAGAAAAAAAAACAAAAAGGAAATGACTGATAAAGAATGTCGTAAAATAGCATTGTATAAATTTTCCCATTATGAAAATCACTTCTAAAATTATATAATTAAGGAATAAGAAGAATATAAAAGTGTTTTTGCATGCATATTTGAAATCCTGGATATTAATTGTGTACAAAATTACGTTCACATTTAAAAAATTTTAAATATATTTTGAAACACAAATTTCAAAACACTCCTGCTTTCTTAACGAGAAATTTATTATTTTGGATCTGATATCAAATTTTACCATATGTGACAAACAATTTTATGCACTCCAATTTCACGACATCATTCTTGGATGTTTCGCAAAATGATGACCTCTAATCTACGACATCGTTCACTTGACAATATCAACTCTTACCAAAATCCACCGTATCTTATCGTAAAATTTTAGAAAGAATTTCAGCCATACATCGTAATGTAAAAAGGACTTAAACAAATCTTTTCTTCAATCACTTATTTCAAATTCTAACATAAAAATTAAACAATCAAATAAATTATACAATAAATGAGACAAAATTAAAAAAAATTGTAAAACTAAATATTACGAATATAATAAACATATATAAACATAGTTTGGCAGAAAAAGATTAATCTTATTCTTATAACTAATTTCTAATTTCAGTACAACGGAAATCGAGGGATAGAAGTTTCAATTTTACATTTATGTCACATTTTAGAGATAAACATTTTGATGAATACATTCAAACTGAAGTAAATGTTTTTGTCACATTTAATATATTGAAAAAAAATACAAATAAAGATGCAATGAAAAATTTTTGTCAAAATTAAGTGATTGACTAATTATTCTCCTTCAAAAATTGCCCAACTATTTCCTTTAACATTCCATCAGTATCTTCGAAAAATTCATTTGAATTGTCATTTTCACTATAATTCATTGATTCATTATATTCGTTTTCATCAGTTGCATTACTCACTGAAGGTATTGAAGAATGAATGAAATCAGCTTTCTGGAAAATAAAAGTTTAAAATTACTTAATTTTAAAAATTTCTGAAAATGTCACATATGAACTATAGCTATAATAGAACTACTAGTACAATCTTAATCATTAATAATTGAAATTAAGGATGAAAGTTAACAATTAAAGCAATTAAAAGAGATTTAAAAAAAAACATACGTCACTAGATGATAATGGTAGCCATTTTAGAATCATTATTAACCAAATATAATTTTTTATCAGTTTCATATCGAGGAATAATTGCAAAATGATACTGAAAATGAGCATGAATGAAGTGTTGTAAGGTTCAGTTTAGTAAATAACCATGATTTAACTGAATGGTATTTAATTAATTGACAAAGATAATTCGGAATAATTGTCCATTTCATGGTTACAAACAATTATTTATTGATTAATGAATTAAAACTATTTCAAATATTACCTGACAGTTACATAACATTTTTCATTTAATTATTCTTCAGTTTATTAATTATCACATCGATTTTTTCAATTATCTTCAATTTGATAATGAAGTCATGCAAGGATATTTACTAAATTTATGCAGTTACTTTAATTAAATTGAAATTCTAATAGATAAAACTGATAGGAAAACTTCTTATATGGAACTGAATAAAGGACCAAAACAATTTTAAAGCATTACTGTGTCGAATAATTGAATGAATAAATTCATAGCATTCCAAAATGAATAGAAAAATGCAGAAATACATAATCAAACAAATATTCTTGATGGAAATCGAATTTTTATTAAGACCGATATTGAAAAGAGTAAAACAATGCAAAAAAACAGTTTTCAACGAACAAAATTGCATTTGTTTTTAATAATGAATGAAATTTTATTTAAATTAGAAATTTCAGATGCCATCGATTTGATGCATTCATTGATCATCACTATAAGATTGTAAGATTGTTTGTTAAATTCAATCCATTTGTTGTGAAATGTTTTTTTTTCTCTCTCTCTAAAAATTTCTCAAATAGCAAACAAGAATTGCTCAAATTCAAAAAGTTAATTACAAGAATGCTTTGGCCAGAAAAATACAGACAAATAAATTATTTTAGAATTCAAGCGGAACAGAAATAATAAGTATTATTCCTATTCTAAAACTCTCAATCAAAAATTTATTCCATATTATAATTGCACCGGTGGAAGGGAAAAGAAATAATTGTTGAGAGCAGAAAAATGGCAATTGATAATAATTCAAGTAATCTTAGTTTTCCAATGAATTGAAAATTTAATTCTGTTTGAAATTTTCATAATATTTGTCAACATTTTTTCATTTTTATTCACAACAACTGGATTTTAACTTTATGTTTTCATCATTTTTCACTACAGTGTTTATAGCAATGGGCAATTATTTTCGCAATTCAAATGTAATTAACCATTTTATCAGTATTGTCGTCATTTCAACGAAATAATATCGTAAATTTGTTCATTATATTACCATGAGAAGTTGTTTATCATTTAGCAAATGACCAATTGATTTACCTACTAAAAAAATCACATAAGATTTGAGAATGTTAGTTGTTCATTTATTTTTTGTAACTCCGGCCATAATTGTCATGCTTAAATAACAAAATTTGTTTGAATGATGATCATAAATATTTCCTCTTTTAGTTAAATTTAAATAAAGGATTTGATAACTTCAAAGAAGCACCCATTCTTTTAAATTTTCATTATCTTAATAATTTGCAAAATGATATTCTAAAAATTCCATTTCAACATATGAATAATTTCGACACAAATATGAAATTAAAGAATATGCTTCAATGACAGCTGTCATTCCTTATTCGATAAATGTTGTGTGACAATCGATAATCATTAACTTGCAGAACTTAAGAAATATTAAATGTGAATAAGATTATCAATCAAAAATTTTAACAGCGAATCATTTTTGGGAAAAATCTTCATTTATGGACGGCGAACAATGAAAATCATGAAAATGTTATTTATTAATTTTCATACCGGAAAACGCAGCATAAAGTGCCATCTTCTAATTTATAGCTTACAGGTGATCTGATAGGCTCAGGTCTCGTTCAATTTTTCCTCATATGCGACATCACGGGAAGGATTAATTAAATAAATTGAAATTTTACATGCATAATATACCTTTTCTCTATCTTTATGATCACCGCTGATTAGTAATCTGTCTATCATTGGCATGCCCGGATGATAAGACTGGTGAAAATTACTGCAGAGGTTACTAACTGTCTGGTTTGTTTGATTTCCTCAATGAATGATTAGTCTGATTACCGGGTACGTGAGTTCGTCTGTTTCAATTGGTAGTAACCCTATAAGAAGACATGACGGCGATAATCCGCTCCGTTATTTTTTGGGAAGTCGCCCTTACAGAGATGACAGCACCCATTGACAACAACGAATCTGAATCTCAAGAAGCTCATTTAATAGATGCAATATATTTAACAAATTTTTAGTTAGTCATCTCACAATATTTATCTCTCTGATTGTCACTGATCAACAATCTGTCCAACGTTGGCATCATTGATATGATAAGGCTGCTGAGAATAGGAAAGAAGCGGATAATTTGCACTGCTATTGTTAAGATAGTCTGATCCTACCCTCCTGAATGATTGATTGGTATGATTGTTGAGAATGTACGTTCGACTGTTTGTAATAGCAGTTAGCATAGGATGGCGGTTATCCGCCCCATCATTTTTTGGGAAGTCGTTCTCTTCAGGGACGACATCTTCCACCAACAGTAATAAATATGAGTCTCGATTAACTCATTTCAAAAACAAAAAGATTCACAATATGTTTGACAAATTTCAATTTAATCATTCCATAATATTGCTAACCACTTGAAAACATCTACTATTGATTTTTTTAAAATATTTCATTCGAAAAAGCGTAGAACCACAATTAATTTTTTAATTTTTGCGTGAATCGATTCTCTGCTTTAATTTGCGAGAAGAATTCATTGCCAAAAAAGTATGAAAAAAATTAGGACAAGAAACAG